CGGGGAACGCGGCTGCGGCCTCGGCCGCCGGAGGGGCCCCCGCCTCCCCTCGCGGGTCTGGCGCTTTCTCCGCGGCTGCACAGAAATCCCCGCGGCCTTCAGGCATCCGCTCGCCCCCCCGGATCTCACACCGCCTCCCCGTCCCGTCCCACTAACGGCGACAACCCGGACGGGGCAAAACTCGCAGCCCCGGCAAGCTCGTGCGGAGGGAGCCGCCAGCCCTCGGCCCCGTGGGGACGCGGGGCAGCGGGCACCGGAGCGTCCCGGCCCCGCGGAGATCCCGCGTCAGGGCGAAGCTCTGATCCCCTCGCGTCTAGAACGGTCCTCGCCTTGGCTTGAGCAACGCCGCCTAGGAACTCCTGACCTCCAAAGACCACCCGGCAGGAGCCTGTTTTGCAGTAGAGCGTGTTGAACCTTGAAATCTTCCATTTGATAGAAAATTCCAAATTCTGAAAGAGAAAACTGCTTACATGCATGAAACCAGGCCTAAATCCTCACATGTATTTTGTTACAGGGCCACAAGCTCCTGAAAACCACACCATTACCTGAGCTGAGTAAGACAAAGCACCGACTCCTCAGCTGGAATGCATCTCCACTTTGAAAACACAGATTCTACTAATGAGGCTATTACTGGTTAAAAAAGAGCAGGTGTGACTAGTGAATTTATTATGCTTTTCCTGGAATAGATTTTCTCTGAGGCTACTCAGGTGCTTAAACCCTCATTATAAGCAATATTTATAAACCAGAGGGCAAAATTTATTTAAAATTAAAACCAGATCAATGGCAAAGCTGTACTGAAAGAAGTATTGCTTTGCATTTGTTTATGCAGAACCAAAAATATTTTAGGATAATTTTATTTAAGATTAATTAAGAAAATACATTAGGGTTGAAATCAATGGCATTGTTCCATTAATTAAAGAGAGGATTATTTCAGCTAGGTTTGATCTCAGCATTCTGTTTAGAATTCTGTAACACAATAATAATGCAGAAACTTATTTATGGATATTTCAAGGAAAGAAAGTGAATCTGGAAAGATACCCAACTTAGGTGAATCATCTTGAAACAGGAGTTGGAATATTCTTTTCTCAAATCTACTTGTCCACTCCTCACTGAAGCTTGAGTTCTCTGTGCAGCACCAGCACAAATAATACCATTTTTTTAACATGACGGTATCTAGGAAGATTTTTATCCTAATGAGAAGGCAAGAAGAAATAATAGCTCAAAAGTCAAGAGATGTATCCCTCAATCGGTTTGTCTGACTTAGCCAGCCAGAGCTACAAGCTTCAGTTGCAAAGCAACAGCCAGTATCCACATTCCCCGGCATAAACCGCTGTCAGGTCGGTCTCTGCATTTCCAGGTTGCTGAGCTGCTTGGGAGTTACACCCGAAAGGCTTTGAGCTCTCTGGGCCATCCAGTTTCGATACCCGAGGAACTCCTTTACAAATACAGCCACAACAACAAAAGTATCATTAAAGTTTGCATGTGAGATGCCAAATGAGCAATATTCTGTATAGATTATTTCTGATCTTGGGGGATAACTGAGGGTTTCAGTTTTTGGCATTGGGAGTTCCCTCCTAGAAGCAAAATCCACGCAGGGATTGAATGTAGAAAGAGAAAACCATGGAACCCCTGTGCAGACAGAAATACCCCAAGGGCAGGCTGTGGTAACAGCCTCGTCCAGCCCTGGGGCCTGCACCCAGCACGCTGGGACACAGCCAGGGCTCCCTCCGACACCGTCATCCCAGAGGGGACCTCAGGACAAGGAGGAAGAGCGATGGCCAAGAGCTTGCATGCGTTTGCTCAAGTCCTGCATTTGTATCTTTTGACAAACATAGAACCAGAAGAAGAATTTCCTGTAGGTGTTAGGGTGTGGCTTTTAATCCTTCAAGTGCAGTGGCACTAACATAATTTATGAGGGACCATGCAATTGCCAGATTATTTTCCAAGCTGCACGTCTCTGCTTTTGGACTCGGCTGTTCTGCTGGGCAAAAAAGGAAGTGTCACATGTTTTGTTTGAATGAACCACAAGATTTTTTTTTTTTTTTTTCTTTTAAAGCATGCCAGTCTCTGAGAAGACTGAGCTTGGGCACCTATCTTGTCAGGACTTGAACTGCTGAGTCTTTATACAGAGGGCTCAGCATTCGATATTCCGGGGTGGACACGGAGCCGCAGGCCTCCTTCCTCCCCAGTCCTGGTCTCAGAGCTGCCGCGTTTCAGATGCAGCAGTGCCCACGGACAGAGAGAGGCTGCCAGGGCGCGTCACCACGCGTCGCCCTGGTGCTAAAGCCCCCAGCGGGCTCCTCCTCACCCTGCTAGAGCCTCCCCGGCACCCCAAGGCGAAACCAGGGTCTGCAGTGCCCTGCCACCACTGAGCACTGCCCAGGGCCGCGCTCCTCTACAGCGTCACAGGGAGATGCGGGTGACAGAGGCTGGTGTCACAGATCCTCGTGCTCGATCATGGCCCTCAAGGGTAGTGCATCGCCTCACAAAGTTGCAAGTGACCACCAAGCTTCAGAGAGAAGCCTTCAGCTTTTCCACCCAGAGACTTGTGCAGATCGGCAGGTACCTGTGTTACACAAGTTCTACTTGCCTTTGACTTCACATAAGTTGGGAAGTAAAGTTTTTCCTCGTCTTTCTAAAGTAAGAGCCATTGAATAATACAAGAAATGTCATTGCTTTTTATATACAACTACTCTCTATAGCTTTATATAGATTTTTTTTAATACTCCCATAAGTGAAAGAACTAGATGACTAAATTCTGAGAAGGCATCTTATTAAAGTATAGTAACATATGTTCTTAATTTCTTAGTGAAACATTTGGTTAACCTAAATAAATAAATAACATAAGCAGAAAAGTGAACAAACATGTAAATGAAAGGAAAAACAAGAAAACAAAAGGAGGCAGAAGTCACCAAAAATGTGAAAGGCTGAATTGCTCAAACAGTACCAGAAATAAAATCACCCTGTCACAGGATTAGGCAAGAGAAAGCATTACGGCATACAGAAAATTAAGCAGGATATATATTTTGCACAGTAAAAGGCCAAACCAAAACAAGCAGCTGAACTAGCACACACGTACCTCAACAGCTTAGGAGGAAGCAGCTTTGCAGGGAGGCGCTGCCATCACCAGATGGGTTTGAGCTCCGGCTAGTGAAAGAAAGGCCTGTTGTGTCACCCCACTGCCATGTCACCCCTCTGCCTCGTCACCCCACTGCCCCAGCAGGAGCCCTGCCCTGCCCTGGAAGGTGTAACCCCTTTCCCCCAAGGCTGCACGAGCCCTGAGCTCTAGGGCTGCACAGCAGCTCCTGCTGCCTGTTCATGCTTACCCTGGCCACAGCAGGTGATCCTCACAGGAGAAGGTTATTAGTTAACTGTGGGCCGTTAAAAAAGTTTGAAACAGCTGGATTAGAGTGATTACTATTAGCATCTTTAGAAACAGAACTGGCCATATTTGCAGAACACTAATGATAGGAAATATATATGAAGTTTCCCCCTTATGTAATGTTTATTGAAAGAATTATGTGTTCTGTTAGAGGAACTTTAAAACATAAACATAGGCTTTTCTCTGTAGGCTTTCTTCTTCATGAAGAAGTCATTTGAATTTTAAGAATCACAGTAATATTCCTTTCATCATCTTAAACACGTTGCAATTATAGCCATTATATTCAGTAAAGAGCTTTTAACAGGAATGTACTATCGTGGTGTATCAGCCCCCTTGTTTCTACACATAAATTAGGAGTGTCGTATAATATTTGCCTCCTTTGCAGTTTTGTGATAATTGGTAGCATTTTTATTTAGAAACCATTTTCATCAGCTTACTGGGAACAGATAACCATAAAGAATGTAACGTTACTTTAGGCAGTTCTATTTTTATTTACACAGGTTTTATTCAGGATAATGTCACTGATACCAGAGAACTTGATCCTAATTTGCAGTGGTGAAAGGAGAAAATGATCACCATTCCATGTGACCGGTAAAACGGCAGAGAGGGAGCCGTAAGTAATAGCTACCAGTAGAGTACAGCATAAAGAGGTAAACTGCAGGACCCATACTGCTTAACTGAAGTGTGAGATTAACAAAGAAAAGTTGAAATATTATCTTCAGTTTCCCTCATACTAATTTTGACACGATATAAAATATACAGTTCACCATGCTTGGGAATAAGAATGATCAGTCATTCACTTGCAGAAAGGAGGCGCTTGAGAACAATCGGGCTGAATAATTCCGGACAGTCCTTTGATTAGAAGAATGATCCTGGAATTTCACGAATAATTTATTTGGCCCGTCCTAGATTAGAACAGGTAAACGAATGCGTGTTGGCTTTG